AGCAATTGGGGTCAACTACTTTATTCAGTACTGCCTATCATCCTGAGACAGATGGCCAGACAGAGAGGTTGAATCAGTGTTTAGAACAATATTTAAGGTGTATGTGTTTTTTGAAACCAAAGACTTGGTCCAAATGGTTAGCTCAAGCTGAGTGGTGGTACTATACTAATTACCACTCTGCTCTTCAAATGACACCATTTGAAGCTTTATATGGATATAAAGCTCCTAATGTGACATGGACAACAGATTCTAGAGTGGAGGCAGTGCAGAATGTTATGCAGCACAGGGAACCGTTAAATGCATAACTACGAGAGCAATTACTTAAAGCTACCAATAGAATGAAGCAAATGAGTGACAAACATCGAACAGATAGGGAATTTCAAATTGGTGATGAAGTTTACCTGAAGCTCCAGCTATACAGACAAACATCACTAGCCCTAAGACAAAATTTGAAGCTTGCTGCTCGCTATTTTGGACCCTACAAGATACAACAGAGAGTGGGTCAGGTTGCTTATAAACTGGAGTTGCCAGCAAATTCAAAGATACATCCAGTTTTTCATGTCAGTTTACTTAAGAAGAAAGTAGGAGACAAAGGACTTATCTCGATCGATCCTCCAGAGGTCGCTTCAGATGGACAACTGAAGATTTATCCAGCCCTAGTTTTGGATCAGCGAGTGGTTACAAGACAGAATCGAGCAGTCATTCAACTGCTCATTCAGTGGACAAATATGGGATCAAATGAAGCAACATGGGAGGATTATATCGTACTGAGACAATAATTTCCTCAGTTCGATCCTTGGGGACAAGAATCGCCTGGAGAAGGGGGTATTGTTATGATGACAGGAAAGTTAGGGTTGGATAGTGTTGATTTGGGGGAAATGGTGAAGGGAAGAATTAGGAAATCACAGCAGCAATTAGGGGAAGATCGAATGAAGTTAGAGATTGAGAGGGATGCTAGGGATTGAGATCCTATTTGAGGAATTGGGGATTGGAATCGGGGAAAAAAGGAAGAGTATGAGACGGTATTGAAGACTTGGGCAAAGGAAAGGATAATGGGTTTTAATACTCAACCCATATGAGTTCAGGTGGGCTTCTATGTTGGGCTTGCTGGATAGAATCATTTTAGGAGAGATGTTTGGAGGGTGAGTCATCTTCAAACCGTTATTTTGTTAGATTGCTATTATGACAGATGGTACTGAGTATAAATAATGTGTACCAATCCTTTAAGGGTTATCATATGAATGAATTACAAGTTTTCTGTATCTATTTCTCTCTACACTTCTTAAATCCCTAAAATTCTCTCTTATTTGACCCGGAAACATAACATAATCATGCAGACGTTATGCTTTATTTACTGTAATTTATTTGTATATACATCGGCCCACCAAGCAAATTATAGAATTGGAAGGTAGCTTGTCAGGTGATATCTGATTATTACTGCTGCCATTTTCTGTGCATTTTTTGATAAATTGGCCTTTCTGTGTTCTTTGGTATACAGATGGAGAGGTTTCAATTATAAATACAAGCCTGTGGACTATGTGCAAATCGAACGAAAGAAGCATAATAAGGTAATCATCATATTAGGGAACTTGTCTGGCATATTTTTGTTTAAATGGCTAGTTGATTTGTTTGATTCTTTTTCGAAGGAAAAAAAAACTTATGTTTGGCTGTACAGGTAAGAACATTAGAAGAGCATAAAAAGTTTGTGGAGAAGATCCTAAAACACTATGCAAGGCGTAGAAAGAGGATAGAGGCTGCTGGCATTGATTACGAGTGCCCAGAAATTGTAAGAATATGCATCTGAATCTTTACTTGCTTTAGTCTGTATCGCTGAAATCGGACAATCTTTAGGAAAACATAGTTTGAAGATGATTGATCATTTAGTATTATAGCACTTGCTTAGAGCTAATTTACTTTAGTCCAATCCTTCATGGATTTGACATGGAAGATGAACATGGACAAAGAACTTGACATTTATCCTGTTTTAGATTTTGGTATGCTTCTTTTCCTTCCCTTTTGGAAGGATGATTTACTTATTATGAAGGGAGAGCAATCTAATATTTAATGCAATCTTCCATTTAATTGAAGATGTGGTTTACTATTTTAGTTGAAGGGGTATTTTAACCATGCACTTCCTCTATTTTAGCTGTGACAACCACCATTGTTATGGGTGTAGTTTGGCTGTTTGTGATATAACTTCGTAGTCTGCCAAGTGCCAAAAGCCCAAATATTGCATCTCTGTCTGTAATTCTAATTTGATCAATCACAAGATTTTCCAATATTGTGTCGCTTGCATGTGCTAGTTTTTGCAGGTGGGCAGTGTTCAGCTTGCACCGAAGAAGATAAAGTTTGATGAAGAGTAGGCACTGATAAGGTAGATATGCTTTATTCTGTTGAATCCATGGTATTTTATTTTAGCGAGCTGAAACAATTTGGATTTGGTTTTAGGAAAGTTTCTAATTGTTAAAATTTAATGCCGACAGCTTTAATACAAATGGTGAACTATGAAGTCAATGGCTTGCACAACACTTTGTCCTGAGGAGCTCAAATTTGCAGTTTAATGTTGTAGTGGTGTTTACAAGCAAGCTTTATAACCAGGAAGGAATTTTTACATTTAAAATGTTGGATCCTGTAAGACCCTTGTTGGAATCAAAATATTTTGTTTTCTTTCTGCATGTTTATTTATGGCATAAAATTGAAGGGAAGGGACCCTAGTGAGCCAAAAGCTTATGCCGCTGCTTTGGATAGATGCCAATGCTCACCATCCAAAAGCAAAGATATCAGTTATTACGATGTACAAATGATCTATGCTTTTGTTTAGCACACATTTAACACTTGGTAAAGTAATAGTTAGGGCTGAGAAGAAAAAGTTCACCAAATTGAAAATCAAACCGAAATGTTCGTGTACTTGTTTAAAAACTATGGTAAGTTGAATTGCGTTTAACTTTTGAATATTCATAAATTCTCTTATTCGATGATAATACACATTCTATAGAGGTAGTTGTTCGAGGTAGTTGTTCGTACTTGAGATCTTTAAGAAAACATTTCTTTTGATCATTGGGTCGCTTGATTGCTTTTAAAAATAGATAAAATATTAATTATTTAGATGTAAAATATGTCAATTTCAATAAAGGATGGCAACTTGAACCAAATTGACAGGGTCATATTTCTTTTTAAAAAATTAAATTTGGATCGAGTCGATCAAATTTTGTAAAGGATTTTGTAAAGTTTGGTGGAGGGTTAAAAACTCCGCCTGGATACGATCTAGAGATAATAGTGTAATTTCTTCAAATAAATTTATGGGTAATTGCAATAATATGCGCTCTCTATTATTTTTTTAATTAAGTTCTTATTTTATATATTATTTTGTGTTCGGTTGGGTCGAATTCATATGGAGAACATATATTTTCAAATCAAATCGGATTGATCAAAAGCCCAACTCAACGGCAAGTTACCATCTCTAATTTCAATTGATCTAGTAAGGATATTTTGTATAAATGTTAATGATATGATTGGATAATAGTAAAAGCATTTTTAGTATGATATGAAAATGTATTCATTTGTAGTGATTGTTGAATGTATACAAAATTACAATTATGTTGATTTTGTTAATTCGACCATAAGAATATATTTAATTTGTGTATGTTTATATGTTATATGTATATATTTTATGTAATATATATTTTTAGTATTATTTTTTAGTAATTCATTATTTTGTAGGTTATAATACATTTTTACTTTTTATATTTTTAGTATTTTTATTTTTTAGTAATTTATTTTTTATTTTTAATATTTTTATATTAGTTATGTATATATATTAAATTAAAATAATTCTTATTTTTTCTAAAAACTTGAATAAACCTTCAAAAAAAAATTTATAAATAATTATGCCTTGAATTTAATTAAAAAAAATAAATTAAGTCTATCTATCACATCATCATCTATTATATATTATTACGCTAACACTAGAAATCTTAATGTCAATTTCTTAAAATATCAACATTTAATTATATATGTTAAAAGTTCATATTAATTTTTTTCTTTAAGAGTTGAGTGAAAAGAAATTTTAAAATCATAATTGATTTTTTTTAAATAAGCACCTTAAGTATCATTAAATTAAATATACCTTAGGTAGTACATAAATGGTCATCGGTTATATGATACTATTTTATTGAGTCACCGGCTATTAAAGTTTTTAATATGGTCTATTGACTATACAATATTATTTTGTTGAGTCCCATGACTATTAAAAGTTACAAAATTATCATACGACTATTCATATGTTCTAGACTTATCATTTTATATTAAGATTTGTCGGCATTTTGAGTTGGAGGTTAACCTACTAATTGTGATATGATAAAATATGATCCTAAAATCTCAAACGACTATCATATCTCATATTATATGCTAACGTACAACTCATATCGTCATCAAATTTTTAATAAAAATTGACGAGATTGGAACATATGAATAGTCAAATAATCATTTTATAACTTTTAATAGTCAAATGACTCAATAAAGCAATGCTCAATAATTAGAGGATTAGTTTATAACTTTTAATAATTAGGAGAATTAAAAAGCATTGTCTTATAGGTGGGGGACGTTTTCTGCACTTTAGCACTTTATTTAAATAATTTGTGTTTTCGATAATGTGGAAGAGTCATTGCCTGCACATGGTGGGTCAAAAAACAAATAGAAAGCACTGCAACACGCGTCCTTTGATCAGTTTTCTGGCTCTTTCATCCGTCCTCGTGCAATGGTTGGATATTTTTCGACATCTCATTGGCTCTGAATTTACGTATACTTTCCACAATTCTATTACCCGAGAGAGAGAGAGAGAGAGAGAGAGAGAGAGAGAGAGAGAGAGAGAGAGAGAGAGAGAGAGACAGACAGAAAAGCTCAAGTGATGAAAGTTGCGGTAGACTCGGATCCTGTCTCCCAATTGAAAAAATCAAAAAAGAAAACAAAATCTCTCCTTTCACTCTCTCTTCCCATTCAGAATAGAATCACTCATTTTCACTCTACGATAACCTGATGGAAATGGGAGACCAGAACGGCCTGCCCGAACTCCGGCGGTCGCTATCTACGACAACCCATTCACCGGCGACCCTGCCTCAACCTTCTGTACCATTCTTAGCTCATATAAACATGGCTCCATTAACTCCATACCATCATGAACCCTTCATGTTGAACTCCGGGATGGCAATGCCCAGCGGTTTGCTTAGGTTCGGCCATGATCATTTATCGAGTGGTTCAGCTTCTGGTCCTTGTGCAACACTATACGGAGTTGAAATGGGAAATACGAATATCAATGGTGGAAACAGCCGATGGCCGAGGCAAGAGACTCTCACTCTGCTTGAGATCAGAATCAGACTCGATTCCAAGTTCAAGGAGGCCAATCAAAAAGGACCATTGTGGGATGAAGTATCTAGGTATATTCTTCTTTTGGTTTAAATTCTGAAACTAGGGTTTGTTTTTGGTTTTAAGATTTGTGTTAGCTTTTAGGGTTTTTTCACGTGTTTGATTTTTTTGTTGTATACCTTGAGTTATAGAATAATGGCGGAGGAATATGGGTACCAGAGAAGTGGGAAGAAATGTAGAGAGAAATTCGAGAACCTCTACAAATACTACAAGAAAACCAAGCAACGTAAAGCTGGGAGACAAGATGGCAAAAATTACAGATTCTTCCGACAACTCGAACTCCTTTACGGTGAAACAAGAAATCAAAGTTCAGCCAACTTTTCCCAAAGGACTCATCTTTGTCAGTTTTCAAACAACACAATGAACCAAGGGAATTGTCAGCAATATTGTTCCTTGCAGGAAGAGAAACCAAGCGGCAGCCTTAGTTTCTCCGATGCATCTGAAATCGAGACTTCATCGTCGTCCGAAAACAATGGCCACGATGGCGATGTTTCAGCCATTGATAAGAAGGGATGGAAAACGAAGGTGAAGGAGCTGGTGGAGTCACAGATGAAAAAGTTGATGGACTCACAAGATTTTTTGCTGGAGAGAATGTTGAAGGCCATTGAAGATAAAGAGCAAGAGAGGATATCCAAAGAGGAAGAATGGAGGAGAGAAGAGGCTGCTTTGTTTGATAAGGAACACAAATTCTGGGTCAAGGAGAGAGGTTGGGTTGAAGCTCGTGATGCTGCTTTCATGGAAGTTCTTGAGAAGTTTACAGGGAAAGGACTACAAGTGGAACCAAGATTTCAGGAAAATACTGCACCTTGGTATTACAATCCCATGGGAAGAAATTGAAACATAAAGTTAGCTTTGAGCATCAAGGATTGGTTGATTTTAATATTAAATTAACTCATTAGCTAGAGCTTGAAACTTTCGTGCCTAGTTACTGTTCATGTTTATCCCTCCTAACAAAACAATTTAGTCTCAAAATTCGAATTTAAATTCTTCCTTTGAATTTGTATTGCCTTACTAATTTCTTGAAACACTTTGGTTAAGGGTTTAGTTGATAAGGTTTTATTTATTTACATAGTTTTTTTAGGAATTATTTATTTTCATAAATCAGATGAAAGAGCGGTCGTATATATCTATCTATCCTTGAATCGAGTCTGTTTTCTTTTTTTCAAGTTTATTTTTGAACATCTTTTCCTGCAATCAGATCAGAGTATCGTACGTTGATGAAATTCCGGTGTATTTCTCATCAAGAGACATTGAATTTTGTATTTAATTTCTTTGCATTTATTTATAATAAGAGTAGCGGGAGCTGTTGTTTAGAAAATACTTAAATTAAGGAAGATTGTTGGTGTTTTGTCTAATTGTATTGATGCAGTGTATACTTTTATTTCTAAAATCTACATTTGATTTATGACTTTAAAAGAAAGAATCATTTGATAGAGACTAATATGGTATTCATTGCATGTGTTCAAATAGTCTATTAATATCATTTGAATAGTTATATGGAATCATATGCATTAATGGGTAATCTGATCAAAAGGAGATCGCAAGATCCCTACGAGCAGTACGTTGTTGAAACAAAGAATCGTGCTTTCAAGTGTTTTTTTTAGAGAAATTACAGTTTGATGTTTTAATGTTTTGTGGATTTAAAAATAATATTTTGGTATGGTAACAAGAGTTGGAATGAACTATTTGTAGACACTAATTTTCGTCCATATTTTTTATTATTATTTTATACATATATACCTATATATATTATATGGTTTGCAAACGGTTTTTGAAAATATATATATAATATATAGTTTTTAAAAAGAAAACATTTTGAAAATATGGATAACATATAGTTTTAAAATCATTTTAAAAACTTATATAATATATAGTTTTAAAAACATTTTTGAATAAATTATATAATATATAGTTTTAAAAACATTTTTGAATAAATTATATAATATATAGTTTTAAAAACGTTTTTTAAAACTTATATAATATTTTTAAAACATTTTGAAAACTATATAATATAGTTTTGAAAACTTTTTTTAAATATAATATATAGTTTAAAAAATATTTTTGAAATATATGTATTATATAATTTATATTATATCAGTATTATAATTATTTATTTTCTTCTTATTATTTTCTTTTTATGTTTTTTTCAGGGTCCAAACAGTCCAATAAGTCAGACGGGCCTGATCCAGCCCAGAGGTCAAATTAGGGTTCCAGTATATGTCAGCGCCACACAACAGGGGACCGTTGGATCAACAAAGAGATCAACGGCCAACATAGCAAGGGAATCAGGGTTTGTTTAACCCACAAAGAGCTATCAGCCGCGGCCGATCTTGGACCGTTGGATCTGACCCAATCCAACGGTCAAGATCAAATCAAGGTTACCAGAAGCCTGAACGCCACCACACACCGGTCGCCGAGATTTCCGGCCGAGGGGATCGGGACTGACCCATCCCGAAATCCCCGGCCAACCAACCACGATCCCGAGATCGTCGGGACTCCCAACGGCCGGTGGGGGTTATAAAAAACCCACGACCAACGCAGTACGGGGGAGGGTTACCAGCCAACTACGAACGAATCCACAGTACCAACACATCAAACACGAGAAAGAACCACAAACGCAAGAACAACAAAACCAAGAACCATTTTCTGGAACGAAACATCATCAAACCAAGATACCAACAGTAAACAAAAGCCATCAACACAAGCAAGCAAAACCCCAAAAATATCACGTCAACACAAACGCAAAAGACCCAGCCACACATAAAATATCAAAGAACCAACCACAAAGCCGAAGAACTTGGGTAAACGAAGGGACACCGACGGTTTAAGGGTAAAAATCGAAACTTTACACCTAGATCCACGCTGGTAGGGATAAGTTTTGGTGTTTTAGGTCTCGGATTTGGGTGTACGGGGTTAAAGGGAGTATTTTGCTGAGGTTCAGTTTGTCCGGCCGCCGCTTGCAGCGGCCGGGGTGTCGGGTTGCGGCCGGCCATTGGCTGAGGAAGAGCCTGAGAGTGTTTCTCTCGTTTGGAGAGATGAGAGTTCTGAGAATGGGAGAAATGAACTGAGCATTGGTCTTTTGGACCTTTTATATACGGGGGACCATTGTGCAATTATATGATTGTTAAACTCTCTCCGCCATCCCTAAGAGTTTGAATCGCTTTACAATCCGGTCACTACATGCAATTTGGCCTTTGGATTTTCAAGTTATTCAATTTGGTCACCGTTTATGCTTTTTTGCATTTCGCAAATTAACCCTCTGATTTCTGGTTATTTCAATTCGGTCCTTTTTTATATATTTTATTTTATTTTTGTTTATTTTATCATTCTATTTATTTTGTTCCCTTCTATTTGACTTTATCATTTTTTATGTTGTTTATTTATTTCGTGTTTATGCATTTTTTATCTTAAGTTGGTTTTGCGCTTCTTTACAAATCTAACACTTTCATTTTTTAAGGGTCTTTTTCAACTGATCAAAGGTAAGTAATCTGAATCGGTTTTTAAATTTTAATTTAAGTTTCTAATTTCTCGCAATTAAAGACAACCGATAAATTAATTGGTACCGAAAGGGCGGTTCAAGGGTGCTAATCCTTCCTTGACCGTAACCGACTCCCGAGCCCGACACATTTCTGGTAAAACGCAAATCAGGTAAGATGGTGCCCGGCCCGCCTAAATTCGTTTTAAAATGGTCGGTGGCGACTCCAATTCATTTAACCCAAGTCGAAGCCCAATTCCGGGCCCTACCGAAAGACGGTTCCGACAGCTTGGCGACTCCGCTGGGGACAGGTAAGTGAGTCAGGCCAGAATTAATTTCCGGTTGTCTTTTTATGCGAAAATTGTAAGTTTAAATTTTAATTTATTTATTCGGTTCCAATTATTTACCTTTGATTATTTTTCAAATAAATAGTTGTACTAACATTTTTTCAATGATTTCAGATTTTTGAAAAGTTTCTATCTCAGGCTCTGTACCCGAGCTCTGAACCCTTTTAAGTGGGGGCGAAAGCGACGCCTTCGTGTGAATTTATTCACCGTATGGGCCTAGCAAGTAACCTTCGGGATTCATATACCTTATGCCTTCGTGTGAATTTATTCTCCGTATGGGCATAAGGGAATGTTTCCTCTCGAGTTTAACTTAGTTCATATAAGCTTGTAATAGGCTTAGGACTAAAGGTCTGGCAAGCCCAAGGGGGCACCGGCAAGGAGAACTCGAGTACCTTTTTAGAACCTAAACCGGGAGAGTACAGGGAATTAGAGCCCACCCCGAAACCTCATTCCAAACCCTAGGATGTTTTACTTCCTACTTTATTTTCGGCTCAAAAGCATGCGAACTAGACAAATATGCGGTTAGGATTTGTTTGAAATTAGCATGCGGGATATAGATCATGTCCGGGTAGGAATTAAAGCATGTGGGGTAGATATCATGTGGGGTAGGATTTTTCATTTTTTTTTATTATTGTTTTGATTTACCTCACTAACTCTTTTATTTTTTGTCTTCTTTTATTATGTTTTTATCATTCGCATCATTTAAAACGGGGTGTTGATCCACCAAAAATGTGTCTGTTAAACGTAAATAATCTGCATTAATGGGCAAAGGGGTTATAATACAAAGAGATAAAAAGCTCAGAAGTCCAACCGTGATCAAAGAATACTCAAAGGCAAAGTTGCAGGGGCAATACGAGGAAAAGGTCACTGACTCGATCGCTCCTTTCGAAAATACAAGAACAAGATAGTGAAACACTAGCTGAGCTAGATGCCATTACTGACGAATTCAAGAAGCAAGCTTTGGATAGTTTCTCTCGATGGAGGGCTCCAATGACACTTTCGTTAGAAACAAGCTCGGTAGAAAGTGAAAGTCGAAGATGCAGTCCTTCGAGATCTTTTTTGGGGCAACCATCTCATTATTTGCACATTTTAGCCAAAGGAGCCGGAATGGTTCGACAGGATATTCAACTAGTGAAAAAGACGAATCAACTTGTCAGAAGCTGTACAAGATTCGTACCATCAAAAAGAGTTTTTTGTCTCTTCAGACGTAACACTTTTGTCACCAATAAGGGTTATTCAGAATAACAGGCACATTTTTTTGGATCAATGCCTCGAACATTTCATGCATCATATATTTAGACATTTTGCATTTCTTATTTTCTTTGCATTTTGTTATTTTCTTTGCATTCACATTAACTAACATAAACATGTCTCATCAAAGGGAACAAATACTGGATACACCGCCTCAAGCATTGGACACACCCCATCCACATAACACTCGTTTGAAGAAGAAGAGGATGGAAGCCAGAATTACACAAATCGAGGAGAATATGTTAAAACTACAGAAGGAGCTAGAAGACAAGATAAACCAGAACAGTCGAAATACTCTGGAAACAATCACAAAGAACCAAGAGTCCTTGGTTGATCAGATCGTTGCCAAGTTAATTGGCCTACAACAGACCAGTGTGCCTGGGGCAGGTTCATCGGAAGGGGTAACTATACAACCTATCCCACAAGTGGTCATCTCACCTGAAATCTTACCAGAACTTCGAGGGGACTCATCTGCTGCAAAAGCAAAGCCCTCGTCCTCTGTATTTAACCCTAAGAACAATCCGGGTTATTACCATATACCGGATTTGGACGAAGAGGAAAAAGCGAGGAAGATGGAGGAAAAAATCAAACAATTGGAGGACCAAATGAATATAGTCAAAGGAGACCGTGACTACCATGAAATCGATGCAACAGAACTTAGTCTAGTCCCGGACTTGGTTCTTCCCCCGAAATTTAAGTCCCCGGAGTTCGAGAAGTTTGACGGGAATAGTTGCCCATCCGCTCACATCACCATGTTCTGCCGAA